ATTTCTAGAGACCAAAAAGTTCATTTTTTAGCATAAAACGTTCCCGTATGCATAAAAAAACAAAAAATTTTAAAACCGATCGTTCAAGCACAAGGAATTACACTAAACTAATGAAATTTTTTTTACTTTTATGGTTTTAGTTGACCTGTTCGAGCTGGGGAACTGTCACCGCAAGGCTCTAAAAAAAAAAGCCCCTAAGGGAAACAGCCACCCCTTAAAAACAATTTAATATTTTTCCACGAAATTTAGCACAAACATTGTTACTAAAGTGTACTATCAAAAAATTAAAACATCCGTGTAATTAAATAATTGCTACATACCTAAAAAAAAAATCCAAACTTTCTTCTTTTTCTTCGACAAAGAAGGTACATATATAACCCCTTAACAAATCGTAGGACAATGCTCGGTGTAGTTTTTCTGCATAACCTTATTAACGGGGATGTAGATAGCCAGCATTTACTAACACGTTTAAAAATTAACATTCCTAATAGAATTACTCGAAACTCTGTTCCTTAGCCATTGTAGTTTTAACTGCATGACCCTTTTAGGGTATTATGTTTGAACTACAATGGTCTTTACACTATTACATCTCTTTCCGTTCCTTCTAATTTAAAATATAAAATTTTAAATTTCCTTACTAACTCTTAGCTTAACAAATTTCAAATAGCTTAATATGTACTAACAAATCGTTTCTCGGGCGCCCCTCGGTCAAATTCATGTGTGATTTCCAGCATAGGCAAAGAAATTACAATATAATTTCAATTACAAATACAATTTTTCGTTAATTCCCTTATCTCCTCAATCGTGTTAATCCGAATGAATTTGGTTATTGGACTGTCAAAAATTTTTAACTGCATGAACTTTGTTCTTATTTTTGTGTCTGCCAATATGGTCAACTTGAAGCGATAAATTTGTATATGGTACCCTTCCTGAGGGTAATACCCTTGGTACCCTAATATGGTACCCTTCCTTTTTCCAAAAGTGTGCATCGCAGTGAAGGAGACATCTCCGACCCTATAAAGTGTATATATTCTTGATCAGGATCACCTCCTGAATTGATATGAGCATGTCCGTCTGTCTGTCCGTCTGTCGGACGGACGCTCTAACTTTAAAAGCACCGGTTCGATAGGATATAGTCGACTTATATACTGCGCGCAAAGGAAAGAATGGTGTTTGCAAAGTTTCAAGCTTTAAAACTAAGAGACTAGTTTGCGTAAAAACAGACAGACGGACGGACGGACAGACGGACATGCTCATAACAACTCATAACAATGATAATGGGCAGTATTGGCGAATCAGGGTCCGAACATTTCCGGACTTGATTTCTCAAAATCTGTGGGAGCGATTTTTTTAATGGGACTGGTACCATTCGAAGGGGCTAAAAATTAGATTTCTCGTGGTATACCGTGCGTAATGGCACATCCTCTTTAAAAAAAAGGTAAACATACATGATGGCGGCTGCCGTGTTGGGCAGCGTGCAAACTAGAGGTCCAGAAACATCGATGTTTGCAGACATCGATGTTTTTCGATGTTTTTAAAAAAACATCGATAAAACATCGGTGTTTTCAAAAATAATTTTATATTAAAAAATATAATTAAAAAGTCTTTACAGAATTTATATTTAAACGAAAAAAAAATAACAAATTTATTCAAGTAACATATTTAGAGAAATTAATAAAATAAAAACAAAAATTCAGTCCATAGAGATCGGATAAGTCACTTATTAAAGATATAGTAATTCTTATTGATAAACATTAGCTGGTCAACAACTTCGGACTTCAACCGGGTACGGCGATCCGAAATTATTTGGCCTGCTTTGTTAAAGGCTTTCTCTGATTCACACGACGTGGCTGGAATACAAAAGAATTTTTTTTTAGCTCCTTGAAGGGCTGCATGTTGTTTGAACACAGCTAGAATTAGAATAATTTATTTTAAAATAATCATAATACACAATTTCTATATTTACCATCCAAAAATTTAAGGGATCGCAAGTTTCTGGCTCGTTCCCGCTTTCTACGTGTTGCCTGAGCAATATAATTGCGTCAGAACGCGTAGTCGTTGTTCTTGAACTTATTTTGAGTTGAAGATTTGTAAAAAAACTCGAAGTTGGATTGGGTGGTGTAGGCGCTATCGACGCTGATGTGGATGGTTCTTGAGTCAAATTTTTAAAAACATTGTGAAGCTCGTCTTCTAATGCTCGATATGCTTGATCGGCATTATTTGTTCGTTGGAAGCCCTGTTTTTTAAACCTGGGGTCAATTAATGTTGCCATCCTAGGAACGGTGCGCGTTTCATAGTGCCCAAAACGATCATTATAGCGTTCACTTAAAAAGTTGAATGCCAGAATGGCTTCTGGGCTTTTAAAGCTATCTTTATAAGAAAACACTTGTGATTGCATTTCGCAGACAATTGGAATTACGAGGGACATAGTGGGGTACTTCCCGCCCGATATTAATTTTGTGGCTTTCTCGAACGTACGAAGCAATGAACAAAGTTCCTCCAGGACACCAATTTCCTCGGCAGAGAAAGGTGCCGGAGCCTTTGCAGTTCCTAACAATGCGATTGAGAGTGCCTCATTAGTCTGCAAAATTCGTTCCATCATTTGGAAGGCACTGTTCCACCTAATTGGTACCTCTTGAATTAATCCAAGGGGGGGTGTCACCATTTGAGCGTCCTTAAATTTCGCCATGGCAGTCAAACTTCGCTTCATAAATGCGACAACAGTCTTGCACTTGGTAAGAATGGGCCGAATAATCTCCAATTTGAGAATTTCTTGAACTAGCAAATTTATCGTGTGCGCAAAACATGGAAAATGTTTAATTTGAAAATGTTCGCATGCCTTCTTCATTGTAGCGTCGTTATCTGTAACTATAGTTACAACTTTATGTAGAAGTTTCCACTCATTTAGTACTTGCCGAATAGTGTCAGCGATATTCATTGCTGAGTGATTTGTGGGCGTCAAAAGACTCGCCGTCGACAAGACCGCTGTAATTAGCTGAAACTGTTTGTTTACATAGTGGCACGTAACCGTTATGAAAGCTTTATTAGCACGGGAAGTCCATCCATCCGTGGTTATTGCAACGTACTGGACACCTTCGAGCTCACATTCCAGATCCTTTCTTAAATCTTTATATATCTTAGGTAGCATTACTTCTCTGAAAAAGGTTCTGCTCGGCATTTTATATTTAGGGTCCATGTGCTGCATTAAATTACGGAATGAACGTCCCGTGCTATCATGAGCATTACATACAGTATGTCAAGAAACTGTTTACACATTGAAAAAAAATCATAATTTTTGACTTTGCATGCAAAAAAAACGCCTTTGTTTGTGTTTTTTCAATATTTTTTTAATGTAGAACTATTATTAACTAAATTTAACATAAGAATGTACAAAAATTAAAACGATATAACGAAACAAAAAATTATAATTCAATAATATATGAGTTTACACATCTTTGACACTGTCAAGAAACTCTTTACACAAGGTACTTAAGCTACAGATTAATGAATATATTTAACAACTTATACTATCTTAATCTAATTTTAATATTTAGTATGACCCCCTTAGCTTCAACTACTAGCCTAGTGCGATTTTTCATCGAATTTATCAGCTTTTGTAGGTCATATTCTAGTGGAATTTTATGCCACTCTTCCAGTACTGCTGCTTTTAAGGCGGCGCGGTTTGTGGGCTGCCTTTTGGCCACTTTCTTTTTAAGATAAACCCACAAATTTTCAATGGGGTTCATGTCGGGGCTCTGAGGAGGTGTATCTATGACCTTTTGGCAATTATAAAGGAGCCATGTGCGCACAGTGAGCTCCTTATGTTTGGGGTCGTTGTCTTGATAGAATTTAAACTTTGGCTTGTTATCGACAATAAAGCCAAATTTTTCTGCACTTTGCCTCAAATTTTGTTTGAGAATGGAGAGATATTGCTCAGCATTCATTGTATTTTCAATAAACGCAAGCTGTCCCACTCCCTTGCTGCTAATACATCCCCAAATCATCACCGACAATTTGCCAAATTTGACCGTCGGTATGATGTTGTGCTGATGTAAAGCTGTTAACGGCTTGCGCCATACTCTAGTTGGTCCATCATTATAGTACAGCATAATTTTGGTTTCGTCACAGAATATGACGTCATCCCAATAATTTTCCGGCTTAATATTCATGTCAACAGCAAAAGTTAAGCGCTTTTCAATATTCACTTGTGAAAGCAGAGGCTTCTTACGCGCAACCCTCGAAGTGTATTTGTTTCGCAGAATTAGTTGGCGGACGGTTTCATGTGAAACGACCGTGCCACACTCTTCTTCCAACTCCTTGGCAAGGGTTCTGGTCGAAATTTGGGGGTTTTGACTGACCTTACGCATTATAAGGCGTTCTGCCCGCTTGTCAATCTTTTTGTTTCGACCACTTGCACACTTTGCTTCCAATCTGTCTTCATTTTTCGCTCGATTTAAAACATTATAAATTGTTTTTCGGGATACCTGAAACATCTCCACAAGTTCAGCTACTGTTTTTCCCATTTGGTGATTATAATATATCAATTGGGTAACTTGAAAAGTCAATCTAGCTCCGGGCATGTTGAAGAAGTTTAAAATTAGCTTTTTGGCACGTTTGCAGAAAAAATTTGAAGTCAAATGAAAGGGAATGCAAACATAGCGCATGGTAAAGAAGCATAGCAAACGGAAAAGTACCGTTTTTTCATCGAATAGAACAAAACAGAATCAAAAACTAAAGTGTGTAAATAGTTTCTTGACAGTGTCAAAGATGTGTAAACTCATATATTATTGAATTATAATTTTTTGTTTCGTTATATCGTTTTAATTTTTGTACATTCTTATGTTAAATTTAGTTAATAATAGTTCTACATTAAAAAAATATTGAAAAAACACAAACAAAGGCGTTTTTTTTGCATGCAAAGTCAAAAATTATGATTTTTTTTCAATTACAGTTACAGTAAACAGTTTCTTGACATACTGTATTTGTCCATTGTTTTTTTCTTTTGGGACTCTGGCGGATACTCTATATTTCGTTGCATGAAACTATCTAGACTTGGAGACTGACCATCTATTTCTAAAACACTATAGTTTGGATGTATACGTTTGAGGTGGTCCATTAAGTTAGTTGTGTTTCCTGCCGTTTTTAACGTTTTCCCACAGTGAATGCAGGTGGCCTTAGTCTTGTCCTCGGTTTTCTTAAAGTGCTGCCACACACATGATGTTTCTCGCTTTCTTTTAGGCGACGGACCTTCAATATTTTCCTTCGTTGTACCTATATTATAAAAAATGAACAGATGAGAATTGGCCGCCACACGTGGGACATATGTACGCAATCAACTACATTGCTTGTAGTTCGCCATGTACTGCGCAGTTTTTAATTTACTTACGGTTCAAGAACTTATCCATTGTTGAAACTGAATCAGCGTCGCGCCTACACCACCAATATCACTTTCTATAAGTATAAGTAAATAATTAAACATTATTATTAACAAAATAAGTAAAATGTTACAAAATACGAACCTTAAGCGTGCTTTTCTTCTTCGAATTTTTTGAAATAGTGATGGTTCTCAAAACATCGATGGTCAAAAAAAACAATCGATGTTTTTTAGAAATTTAAAAACATCGATGCATCGATGTTTTCATCGATTTTTCTGCACCTCTAGTGCAAACACGGAAAAATGATAATGGCCAGTATTGGCAAACCAGGTCCCGAAAATTTCGGGACTTGATTTCTAAAAATCTGTGGGAAGGATTTTAATGGCACTGGTACCATTCGAATGGGCTAAAAATTAGCTTTCTCGTGGTATACCGTGCATAATGGCGCATCCTCTTTAAGGGGTTATATACAGTTGTACCGCGCAAAAATATGGATTTTTATCGATTTTTTTTTGACACCATAGAAAATATATATGAAAAATGTTTAACCCACGTTGTTTAGTACATGTTTCTGGGTACTTAATTAAATTTTTTCATAAACAAATATTACATAACAAAAATGTTATAGCCGAATTCCCGGATCGTCTTTTTTCGATGGTGTCTTGCGGTGGACAAGATTTCTCGAAAACGGTTCATCCGAAATCCAAAATTCAAAAAAGTTTAGTTAGTATATTGTATTGTCTAGTCCGTGAACGAGGGATTTTTAAAAATTTTGATTAAAAAAAAAATGGCGACGTTTTTAACAAAAAATGTACTTTTTCAAGGTATAAAAAATTGAAAATCCCTCGTTCATGGACTAGCTAATATCATAATAAATAAGTGGTCGAAATTTGGTGTTGATCGGATTAGTAGTTTTTTAGTAATCGTGTCCACCGCAAAGGTAATTTCCCAAAAACAAGATTCTGAGATAATCGCGTTTCAAGTTTGTTCAAGTTTTATATGCAGATAGTGCGCTATAAATAGCTACAGCTTCGGTTCTAATGCTCCGATCGTTATGAATTTTTGTGAGAGTATTCCCAATAGAATATACTTAAAGAATATGCAATAAAAAAAAAAAATAGATTTTTTCATATATCACAACTGTATATAACCCCTTAAAAAAAGCTAGGGGGGCATTCAAATTCCATAACGGCTAGCGCCGTGTTTGGCAGCGCAGAAATATGTGATGCTGTTAATGGCCAGTGTTGGTGAATCAGGGTCTGAAATTTTCGGGACTTGATTTCTTTAAATCTGTGGGAGCGATTTAAATAAAAGTTGTCTTATAATGTTCTGTATAAAATAAGCTTTTCAACGGTATACCGTGCATAATGGCGCATCCTCTGTGAAGGACTTAATAAGTCTAACAGAGCCATATAGTATTTTTAAACTAGTTCAATGAACTTTTTGCGGACTGGTTCCGGTTCACTGGTTGGCGCTCCTCTTATTAGTTCAAATTATATGGGAAACTGTAATTCGATTTTCTCAAAATCTGTGGGAACGATTTGTATGATTTTTGGTCCATATATACTTGAAAAGGTCCTACATCGACTCCACTACCGTTCATATTGGCGCATCCTCTTGGAGCTTCACAATTTGAAAAACAATTTTTTGGGGTCATTTTTGTATGGGCTGTTAGCCGGGTTGGTCCACTTTTAGTCGATTTGCTCCAAAACGTAGGGAACGATTTTAATGAAATTTTCAGGGCATATTCTCAAAAGAATGGGCTATAAGCTGGTGTATCGCGCTTATTGGCGCATTCTCTTATTTCTGTGATAATGCTCAATACAGTGTAAGGGCAATTTTTCAACCCCATTTTTAAGGTACTTAAAGAGTGAAGAACCCGCTCAAAGTAAGAAAAAACAATAGTTTATTCAATTCTTAACAATTCTAGTGTTAATTGATTAAATTTAGTGGCTAAATACGGAAATAATTGAAAAACAAAATATTTGTTGCTGTGTTCCAATTCCACCGTTCCACTTCGACGCTAACTGAGCGACGCTAATTTGACGTACATGAAATATGTGATGCTGTTAATGGCCAGTGTTGGTGAATCAGGGTCTGAAATTTTCGGGACTTGATTTCTTTAAATCTGTGGGAGCGATTTAAATAAAAGTTGTCTTATATTTATAATTTATAATTTTTTAATTCAAATATAAAAATTGGTTTTGATTTTGATTATAAAAATCAAAGTCTATAGCAAAAGTGCAAAAAGCGAAAGCAGTATAATAAATTTTTTTATAAGTATAAATTTGTATTCTACACACTAATAAAAATAAGAAAAAATTAGCCTTACAAAAGAATTTTTTTTTTTTAAATTCGTAAATATTTTGGGTTTTTAGCGCATTCACTTTTGCATTGTCTTCAACATGAATGAAATCGAATATCGTGCCGTCAAAAGATTTCTGTTTTTAAAAGAGAAATCAAACGACGATATTAAAAAGGAGTTCAACAAAGTTTATAAGGATTTAGCTACATCGTTTTCAACAATAAAATATTGGGCTGCTGAATTTAAACGCGGGTGGACAAGCATTTTTGACGATGATCGCCCGGGTCGTCCCAGAGAGGAGACAACACCAGAAATTTTGGATAACGTCCATGGAATAATATTGGATGATCGCTTGTACATTGCGAAGGAGAGTTTGGCATTGCTTAACGCATACAAAAACAAATTTTTTTCGTCGTTTTGTGACTGTTGACGAAACCTGGGTTCATCATGATACACCAGAGAGTAAGGAACAGTCAAAGCAATAGATTTCAACTGGAGAAACAACACCGAAAAAGGCAAAGATCGGTTTGTCGGCCAACAAGGTGATGGCAACGGTTTTCTGGGATGCCCGTGGTGTAATTCATGTGGATTATTTGGAAAAAGGCAGAACAATTACGGGGAAATACTATTTCAATCTCTTGGAACGATTTGGTTCGGAGCTGAAGAAAAAAAGACCGCACATGGCGAAGAAAAAAGTCTTGTTTCACCAGGACAATGCTCCCGCTCACAAGAGCGTTGTCGCCATGTCGAAATTGTGTGAATTACACTACGAAATTCGACCACATCCACCCTATTCTCGAGAATACGGCGTTAGTTATCTGGTAAGATCGTTAAAAAGTAAACTTATTAATATTGACGAGAATCTTTAGGGGCTTTGACAAAGAATCAGCTTATAAGCGAAAACAAGGGTGACACAATAGAAGATTCTTCTGAGGCCTATGAAGAGAAAAAGAAAGAGACCGCACCAGAAGAGACTTTAATGCTGTGGGTCAAAAGACAGAGTTGGAAAATAAAAGATAAAAAAAAAGGAATTACACAAAATAACAAGAAAGGAAAGCTATCTTCGGAAGGAGCCGAAGTTGAAATACCCTTGCAGTTAAAATCTGATAAAGTTTGCCGATCCTCATGTAAATATCATAATATAACAAATTTATTACAATACAAAATCTAAAAAAAAACCCAAGCTTGTATCTTCAAGAACACCAAAGTTGGTATTTTTACCAAATACCATTTCCGATCGTTCAGTTTTATGCCAGCTATAAAATATAGTCTCCCGATCGTTATGCAATTTTGGTAGGTAGGATCAACTAACTAAAATAAAATCTGTACGAATTTTCAACTTTCTGTCTTAAAAAACACGAAATTTGGGTCATTTTCGATTTTTTAGTTCTATGGCAGCTATAGGATATAGTCGGCCAATCCTTATGGATAATCTTGGGAATAAATATTTCATCCATGGAGCTTACTCATTTCTTTTCTTTTTCTTTTATAGTTCTGTTATATTGTTTTTAATAAAAAGGCTACGTATTTTTTGGACTTATTGATGTTATCTCTTTCGGCTTAAATTGGTTCGTCATATGTACCGGCTATATTTTCTCTATTTAATTCTTTTTGCGGTAGAGGAGAAGTGTCACCCGTTTTCAATTTTTTAGCCAATGTAGAAGTTGCATGCAACAACAGTGGCATGGAATCTTCAGTTTTACCTACCAGATCAGATGCCGATTTTCGCTTTAACCTTGATTCTGCCTCAGTGTATGTCAAGCGTTTGCGACCAAGCTTTTCGCGTGGAATATCATTTTTAAGAAACTCAATTTTTAAAGATGCGAGCCATTGCGCATGCTTTCCCCTTAAAACGGTATTCGGTAACGAGCATTCTGTTGCATTTTGGCATAGTGTTAATGAATCCAAAGAACACCCTGAGTTTTTGTTTTATTATGATTTGCTGGACATCACTAAAGTCAATATTTTACGGAACGTTATTTTTCAAACGAAACGTTGTCGCTTGTCCAATATTTTACGAATCGTTATTTTTCAAACGAAACGTTGTCGCTTGTTCATTCTCAATGGGTAGCCGAGGGAGGACATACTTTGATGCTGAGCAAGGTCTGACCGTGGGAGCGTAGACAGAGATGGCGATGTAGTTTGTCGAAATACAAAAACTACTAGAAGGAATAGGGCCATCGCGAGGGCAGCTAAAGACGTGCCACCGAAACGGACGGAACTTGCTGCGCGAGAACTGTAACGAACAACGTTGAGCTGGTGGTCACGCAAACTGTTTGTCCCGCACGCGTTGAATTCCGGCTATATCTTGTCGGCAAATGTCGTGGTGCTCTTTAGAGGACACAGATTACGGGTGCTCACTTGTATCTTTAATAATTAAAATTTGTCGCGTGCGAACAAGTAACGATTCAAAATCGGCCGGAAAAGAGATAACATGAAAATCGGACAGACGGATGAGAAAAAGGAAATAGAACTTCTCGCTAGACATACCGCGCCCCTAGATGTGAACGGGGGTGTTATTAGCCCTCCCTACCATGGCCAATGGTCTTCCGATAAAACAAAGCATTAGGCCCCTTTTAATATTTTGAACCTACGACGGCTTTTGGGTCAGCATGGAGTTAAAGAGGGTTATTTACTCAAACATTATAATATGGGTTTATTTATATAATAAAAGTAAAGATAGAATATACATTTGAACGGCTTATAAAATATTCTAAAATAAAAGGTTATCTTAATAAAACTTGGGAGAAAGGTTATACAAAAAAATTAGATACAAGTGTTTAATTAGTGATTTTGTTATTCTTTTCATTTTTAATTTACTTCAATTCAATATTTAACTTTGTTATTGTTTTTATTTCAAATTAATTCAATATATATTTTTTTTT